TTTGGTATCTAATGTTATATTTGTTTGAGATTGTGGTTGTGCGCGCAACCACTCCCCTACAGCTTATAACTATGTTTTTTTTAAAAAGCAGTGCATTTTAATCCTCTAACCTTGTTTTTAGGGGAAAAAGAGATGGGCTTCTTGGAAAGGAAATGGCAGATTTTACAAAGAGTTAATGGCGTCTGTCAGTTTCCCTTCAAACAGTGCCCCCTGCAGTGTTCTGGGGGACAAAATGACAACTGTCTGTCAGTAGCTGCAGAGAAGAGCTATAGACTCATCCCTGCCAGCAACTGAACACAAATACAGCACCAAAGGAAAAGAATCTGCCATTCTCCACCACTAATTTAAGTCCCTTGCCCACAACTTTTCAAATAATTCCATCTTCCCCAAAATTACAATTTCAGAAGGGTGACCAATTTTGAGGAGACCATTTTGCAAATCTCAATTTTATCAAAAATCTGAATTCAATTGATTCCAACTGTGAATTTCCAAAAAGGGGGCGAAGGAGTGACTGGTCTTTCTTTGCATGTCAGGAATTATTACTATCTGATGACGGACAGTGTAAGTTCTCCTGTTAAACATTCTTTGATGTAGTTCTCTGATAGATTGCTCTAAGAGCTGCTGCCCTATAAGAAGACCTAGTTGCTCACCATCATTTTTTAACTCTGACCTGAAACTTATCCTTAAGCGCTTCCTGCTAAACTTCCCAGCATTTCAGTTATGAACATTGGGACATTCTTCCAATACTGGGAGTTTTGAAGATGGTTCCCTGACTGAGATATTACTTATCATCATGATTACATATTGCAGAATAGTTCAGGATTGCTTTCCCCTACGCAAGTTCCTTATTCTCATGGTCCTCAGGTGGCACAGCTGTTAGCCAAGCTGGCTGGAGAACTAGGGGACCTGAAATCCAATTTCTCTGAGAAGTTGAAGAAGGCTGGTCTACCATATTTCATCACCAGTTTAAAACAGACCTTGAGGAGAAGTGTTGGATTGCGTGGCAACTTAACTTTTGAGACTCAACTTCTAGAGATTTTGGGAGGGGGGCACTAAGTCTTGAGAAATACTGAGGCAATTACGGGAAATTAAGGGAAAATCAAGACAGTGGTTTGACTTGGAAAAGAACCATAGAACAAGGGCTGTCCTGTACTGACCAACATAGTTGGAATGATATATATTCATTCCAGCTATGTTGGTCAGTGCAGGACAGCCCTTGTTCAATGGTTCTTTTCCTAGAGAAACTCGACTTCTAGAGACCTTGGGGGGTGGGGTGCACTAAGTCTTGAGAAATACTGGCAATTAAGGGAAAATCAAGGCATAAACTAAATTTCCAGATTTTGGGAAGCTTAACATTCCTGTTGAAAGGAGATCATCGAGGGGAGTATGGGGCCAGGATCATTAAAGAGGAATACTGGTATTTTCCTTTTTTCTTCATCCCAGGCAGGATAGCCTTTATATTTTGGCCACCTTAGAATCCTTCAAGATTTCTGATTGCAAATTGGGTGGGAAGAAAAAATGTAGGTGATTTGGGAAGCAAAGAATAGGAGAGATGCTTCTTGGAACAGAATAGTCTTCCTCAGTCTGATGTTGGTCACCTGCAATGGACCATGAACTCATCATCCTCAGCCAGATTGGATTTTTGGATGTGATGTGATGTGAGAGATGCTGGAAAGTATAATCCAAAACAGCTGGAAGGTGAGAAGTTAGAAAAAGATGGTATAAAAGCTAGATACCCATTTCTGTGACTCATCTCATTCTTCCTTTACATTGTTCTCATTTCACTTTCACTGAAATTTTCTTTGTACCTACGTTCTTTGCATCTAAGATGGACTTAGCTAAAGAATATACTTTTGTTGCGCTTCGACAAATACATGAGAAATAACTCGGCCTTTTTGCAAATGCTTAGAAAAAAATTCACTGTTTCTTTCTAAAGCTGAGCTGATGAATAGCTCAGTGGTAAAATCTTGCAAGCCAAGTATTTACTTGTGAGTTGGCTGGCCAAGTTCCACAATGTCCTTCCTCTAACTAGCTCATTTTCCCCAGGAGATCCTCAGGTGAGAACATACCTCTCAATATGCAGTTCTGCTTTCAAATGGTCTTTCTAAAAATGTAAGCCTAATTTAAAATGAGCATGAAAGTTGAGTCCCTGTCATTAAACAGATGAATCATGTCATTGAATTAAGGGAGGTGTGGACAGGAACTTCAGGGATGGATCTTAAATCAACATGGGTGTTTCTATGATTGCCAGGCATTCTTCATATTGTGTTCACAGATGGGACAACACTTTTGTGTTGTACAGGGATGTTGCCATCAGTTCTCTGGTTGTGTATCAGGTGGGACTGTAGTATTTGTGGGAGGCTGTGGGGATGAGAATAAGTTGGGTGGGAACACAATGGATATGAAGGTGATGGCCTACTCATGTGATGGTTATTCTTTCTAATTGCTCCGCTCCTCTCACCTTGGCAGATGATTGTAAGTACGGCAGGTCACCCCTGTCTCTCATGTTTGTCTCTTTCTCTCTCCCGCCCTGTCCATGTGCCTTGCGTCTAGTATCTTTCCTACCCAAAGTAACTTGAGCTGGTTTTTCTGTTGTACTGTGGTGGCTGCCTATCTTGTCCCCGTGCCTTCTCTTCCTGCTCCTGCCCCTTCCCAATGCCTTTGCCTTTTCTTGTTCTGTGCCCTCTTCCCCTTGTTGCTGAGCTGCTTGGCGCCAGCTATGACGTCTTGGTGGAAAGTCTGTCCCTCACTCCTCCATGTCAGAAACTATAATGTGGTTGTTTCCCGGGGTGCTGGGAGGAGGGAAGGGTTGCTCCTGCCATTGAGTTGAAGAACAAGGTGGTCCGATCTGCCTGTGATACTTTCACAGGAAGGATGAGGAAGTCAATTTTTGAGGAAGAGCATTCTCCAAATTCAGTCTCCCTTCCTCTTGGATTCTTTGGAGTTGTGAAGGAGCAACTCCTCTGGTGAAAATGTTCCTTGGATATGGGAGGATGCAGACTTGGGGGAAATCTTGGGTAGACAGCATATCCCAAGTGGTCTGTGGTGGGCACCTTGCTACAAATATATTACTGTGCACTGGCCAAAAAGTGGGGAAATGTCATGAGAAGAGGACATGCCTATTGCACATTATATCAGTGTGAGCTCTTCAGAGGCAATATCTGAGACTTACCTTCCCCATCCTGGTTTCCACCAGATTTGGTGGCTGTGCAATACCCAGCATTCCCAGCCAACATGATGCCCATCTGTAGATGGTGTCCATCTAGTGGACACCAAGTTGTGTAAGTCTGCCTTATACTTTGGGACCTTAGCTACTGACTTTTCCAAAACATACAGGCTGAGGGCACATATCAGCAGTGTGTGTACACTCTCATCAAGTAAATCCCTCCCCCCTCCACACACTTTAGGATAAGGGCCACCCACATTCCCAGGCCTATCTGGTCAAGAGGCCACACCTGCACGGTTCTTTACGGTTAAGGTTAGGGTGTCATTTCCCCCCCCCTCCCTTGGAGACTATTATTTCTGTGTTTTCAGCATTCTTTTCCATAGACAAAGCATTGTCCCTTCTCAGTGCTCTGACAATGACCTTCTAATTTGCTTTAACAGATCCTACACCAAGCATTTAAGGTACTCATCCCTTCCTTAGCTATAATTCTGTGAATTCAACCTTCTCTTGCCAGGCGCCCTCCAGGTATGTTGGATTACAATTCCCACCATCCCCAGGCCGGGCTAGTTAGTATTAATGCAGTTTACTGCATTACAGTTACTGTATATCAAGAGGACATCAGATGAAATGGGAATCGTTTTAATTCAGTTGTATTTAAGGAGATACTTAGGAAAACTGTTAGACTATAAATTTCTTCATAAAAAAATTTTTGAAAAAATGAACCCAAATCTGCCCTACTAAGGAACACTGCAACTTTCTACAAAAATCTCCAAATCCTGTTAAATCTCTGTCCTTTATCTGACACTCTGATGGAAGGAGGGAGAAGGGTGCACACACACAAGCTATGCTCACACAAAATGCTTAACACAATTTTCTAAAATAATCTGTTTTCTGGGTTACACAATACATTGAATCAATACACTGATACACTAACCAAGCGTCTAAGCCTCAAAAAAACTATTTAATAAGTTGTGCAATATAGCTGCCAGGTCTTTAACTGACCTGAATAAATGTGTTGTATGAATCCTTTCCCAGTACCCCTTTCCCATATCTTACAAATGGCAATCCAGTCCCTTTGATCTATTTCCTTATTGGAAATAAACACTAAATGCCTGTTTCTTCCTCCACCCCTGCTGGATTTGTGGGTTTGCAAAGTGGTGGCAATTAGCTTGGGAACATAATTTATTATGCCAGGACCAGCAGTGAACCTCCAGGAACATATAAAAATAGTAGCAACAAAGGCAGAAGTTGGTTAGTTTCTTCCATACCATCCCTGCCCCAGCATTTGTTCTGAAATCCAGTTTTTGCATTTGGCCAAAGGATCTTTGGAAGTATCTCAAATTACAGCTGCTATTCCCTTGCCAATCATGATACCCCTACATCACCCTTCTGAAGACCATATGATTGCTCCCATCTCTTACTTGTGGGCTTCCCAGAATTATCTGGTTGGTCTCTAGTCGAAGAGACTATTGGGTAAGGTTGGGCTTTGATTGGATCTGGCACCCAAGGTCTAAATCTTCTATGTAAACAGAAGTCAAGCACTGAAGGATCACCTTTATCAGAACAGTTTACATGATAAGTATTTATTCATCTTACCAATGCTATGTTGGACTTGGCAAATGAATATAAATAACTTTTGCACTTCACCTTAAAATATATACTTGATTATTTAAAAAATGCATTTTCAGAGTTCGTACAATAGATGAACTCTATTGGCCAGGTTTGTCCAACACACTAAGCCAGACACACACCAACACCAACCTAACCAAGGTTAAAACTAACCAAGATTAATGTGTGTGAAGACACCTGCTAGGTTGCTATCTTAAGCATGCTGGGTGAACAGAACTAGTAAATGCATGACAGCTCTACCCATACTGTACATGGCTACAGGAAGATGGGGCAGAATTGCCTTTTTGTCATTCTGACAGTTGCAGAATTTGGAAGAAGGAAGGAAGATGGTTCCAGTTAATTAGTTAATATGATGATGTACTCAACAAAACAGTAAAAGCAAAGTAAAATCCAAACACAATAACAATAAACACAAACTCTAATATCCAAGGGCACAAACCTATCTTGCTCCAATTTTCTCTGGAAGAGCTCATTTTTCACTAGGTTTTGGAAAATCAAGTGTTAACATGGCCTCAAGTTGAGCAGAAGGGAGGCTATTCCATAAAACAGCAACCACAACCAAGAAACAATATTTATTGGCCCCTGCCCCAAAACTCTAAAAAGCTATAAAATACAAAGCAGATGGATTGACTCTACTTGCAAGTACCTAGGGACCAAACCATTTAGGGCTTTATAGGTTACAGTATTGCATCTAGAATTCTGTTGACCTCAATGCATGGTTGACCACACAGGCATTTCCTGACTCCAGCAATTCTCATTCATCAATGAGAAGGCTGCTCATTTCAAACCAACTGCAGTTTATGGGTAGTCTTCCAAGGCAGGTTTGTGCTGAATGCATTGTAGTAGTCCAGCTATGTGGCACTAAGGGCAGGAATTATTGTTTCCAGAGCTAGGTGTCATAAGACAATTTTTGTGACCTAAATCTATTTCTGACCAATTTGGGATGCTGTTTGGATGAGAATAAGTAATTCTTTGGGGGCAAAGTACAGATTCAGTGCCAGGTTTAGCTTACATCTTCTGACAGGATTGTTCTCTGGAGGTAATCCCAGGGTAATGGAACTTAAATATCCCTCCTTTCCTCCCTCACTCCTTTTCCCTTGTGATACCCATACCTAGACATGTTTCTCTTCTTCCATATTGATCAATTTGTGATATTGTTTCTACAGGGAACCCTCTTAAGAAAGCATGGCAAGGGGACTGAGAAGGTAATGAGCCATTCTCACTCTTTTGTCTGTCTGTAGCAAAAGACCCAACTAACATTGCCTCCACCACCAACTCACCCAGCCCAGCTTAAAGGTTCAAGGAGTCACCCGAGGCTTTGACATCAATAAGGGTTGATCATTGCGTTTCATAGTTTGTGTTGTTGAGATATATACTGTTGTGTGTTTTTGTCTGAGGGGGGCTGTTTAGTGTTGGAGCATGGATTTTGTCTTCTAGGGGACCTGTATCTGTGTCCATACTGTACAGCAGCAGTTCAGAGAACATGATGTATATTACAGTTACTTGTGATGCCAATCTCCATTACAGTTAGCAGTTTAAGGAAGGTGGAACTCCAGTGTTCCTGCCCAAAGGTACTTATCATCCTAAATTTGACAGAGAAGAGATAACAGGGATGGAGGTAGGAGCTAACATGGAGATGTCACTGTTATGCATGATGTGTAGCTCCATACATCTCTGGTAAACAGATCGGGTCAGTCTGTGGTCCAGCCACCCACCAATCCATTTTAACCAGTGATGTCCATGGGACAAAAGAAATTGAGTGCATGTTTCACTCCAAGATAGGCCTGTAGAAATTTGTGATTGGACATCTTTTCCAAATCACTCCAGATTGGTCTATGTTGGAAAGGTTGCCTGCTAAAAGAAGGGTGTAACTTTCCTTCTTTGTATGGGGTATATGGGGAAGAGCAGGGTAGGGTATATACCTTGAATTTCAGGGCAGTGAATTACATACAGTGAATTTCAGAGCAGAATATACATAGAGTATATACAGGGCAGAGTATGTACAGTATACACAGATTATAGACAGTGAAATCTTGGCTCTACTGAGAAATAAGCCTTGCTGGGTTCAGTAGGTCTTACTCCCAACAAAAGATATCACAGGTAGGCCTGTGGGACAAATCTGGGCTACCCACCTGATCTGGGAGTTCATCTCCATCTTCCAAGCCCCTCTATCCTAGTATTGCTCTACATCAGACACACCTCTTGTTTCCTGTTTGGGAGGAATGGCACAGAACGGTGCAGAAGAACGCCAGAACAATTGCAGCGAATGAAACTGCATGGGCCAAGATTTTTATTTCAGTTTGGATAAAAATATGAGGCAGTGGGTGCGGGTGGCATTCTGTCTGTAGAATTGTGTTCCCATAGGCCCAAGGAGCCCCAAATGCCATAGATACAGTAGATAGATAATAGAGAGAGAGAGAGAGAGAGACAGACAGACAGACAGACAGACGAGAGATGATAGATAGATTCCCAAAGTTCAAACTTCTGGTGGTTCTTTTTAATTCTGTTGGATTTGTTATTACCATTGTGCACTATTTTTTGTTTCTGTAAATTGATTCATTGATTATTGCTTCCTTATTGTGGGGTGGGTTTTTTAACTTGCCATATACTTTCGTGAGCCTCCCAAAATCCAGTGAAGTTGACAAAATACAAATTATGTAAAGTAAATAAATAAAAAATGTGAGTTTTTAGGAAGGATCACTGAAATGATATTATAAAATTAAGATCCAGGAATACCAGATTGTGTTCTGGGGCTACTGTTGGACCCCCTCCTATTTTTTTAGGGCTGCCTAGTGACCAACAACTGTGTGGCATTAAATCCTTCTGGAAGTAGAACACAAAAAAGGAGTGTTCAAAAATGAGATGATAATGGGTAATTCAGTAGTTGAGGATAATCCATATACAACAGCTTTTCTGAACAGAAAAAATATATTTTGAACAAAAAAAGTCAGATAAAATAATCTAGCTCTTTCATATCAACAAGTTGTTGGATGTTATTCATGCTATCATTTAGATTGTTTTTCAGCAGTTACAACAAAGACCAAAGTCAAAGGGAAGTCCATTTCTAGAAGATGCAGTGTCCTTAGGCAGAAAAGAATGAAGGTCTTAAGATGAAAGGTGTAAATTCTGGTTTAACAGTAGAAAAGGAATATTGATATTGATAGTAATTTGGGTATAGAGCCAGTCCTCCAGAGGGGGGCTTAATTCTCTCTTTTTGGAAACTTTAGATCAGAAGCTAGATAGTTAGACAGAAGCTGAGGGTAGTTGATCAGCAAGCCCCATCCAAGGTGTTATGTGAATAAAGTGGGATTGAGAGTGCGCATATTTTGACAATGATCCTGGAAAAGTGCTTTGGATCTCATACAAATGCAGCAGCAAAGGAGACCAACTTTTTTCTCACTTCTTTGTGAGCCTGAAAAAAAACAAAAAAGGAAGGCCCCTGTTTAAGGAACCCATTTATTAAAGTTAAGGCAATTCTTAAAGCAGTGACATCTTTTTCTTTTTTAAATACTTACATATACTGTAAACCTGAAAAAGATAAGCATATTTCAATGAACTGCAGAAATATGCTGTGTGTCTGAACGAATTGTCAATCATTGTTGAAGTGTGCACAGCTCTGTAAAAGTCAACCGTTCCTTCCTTAAAGGAATTAAGAAGCAGGATGTTCTCTTCTTCTCAACCACATGTTCAAAGCAAAGAGTAGTGGCGGGAATAAGATTCATTTACTTGCTGTTCTGATCTTGACTTAGAAAACAAAGATTGGATGAGTGGTGTTTATTGAAGACATCATTTGCTTTCCATTGATTGTCTCTGTCACTTATTTAAATCTGTGTAGATAAACGTTTTGGCTTTTTCATAATTTGGCCCTGAATTAGAGGATTTCCTGGATCAGAGATCTACACATGTTGTGTGTGAACTCTCCTGGGACAGGGAGTACATGAATCCTTAAGCCTGCCTATATTCCAAAAATTGAATTAGTTTCTATCATATTTTTAATGGGATGCCACCCAATTCTGACTGGGCTGGGTTGTATATGCAACAGGAGGCGCTTAGCAGAAGATTAGGAGATTACCAGAAGAGTCCTACAGAGGTAGAAATTTAAAAAACAGAACAGTGGACTATCACTGATGCATACTTTTCCAATTTGGATCAAGAGTAGAGAATATGAAAACCCAGCATTCAAGGAGGAGGAGAATTTCAAAAGTAGCCCCATGAACCCATAATAATTAACCTGATGGGAAAATGTGATCTAAAGTGTAAGCTGTAAATTCAAACAAAAGGGTTGTTCTTTGGGATGTGTTATGAAGAGTATCACCACTCCAGTTTAATCTATTTCTTAATTTTCTGTTCACCCATTTAAAATAGCAATACAGATCGATGCTTCTTAAACTGGTCATGAAATTTACTGTAAAAATGGAGCTTTCCTCCAGATGTGGTATTGTCCAGATGTGTCAGAATAAAAACCCCATCACCCCAGCCAGCATCGCCATTGTGGAGATGGCATCTGATGTCAGCGTGGTTGTGGGGAAGGGAGGGTGTTGCATTGCTATGATAGGCTTTCTAGATGCTGTAATCATACAAACAGTGCTGTTCTTTCCACAGACTAGGGTGAAGCTCCCCAGTCACACTGAAGTAAGGATTCTCCATTTAATTCTTACTCTGCTTCATCTACTTTTTTCTTGCCTATCCTCCCCATAGAGATCCCCCACCTCCCGGTCCTTCTTGCCTGTGGTCCTTTGAATCCTTATGTCCGTTTGTCTCTCTTGTCCTTCTTTCTTACTAGAAATTGCTACCTGGAGCTGGCTGCTCTTTTAAAACCTGTGCTCAAATCATGTTTGTTGGTCTCTGTTTTCAACCAAAACCCAAAGCAATTTTTTTAATATATTTTCCTTCTGAAATCTTTTGCTCAGCTTGCTTGCTTGACTGTCTGCATGGGAGTGGGTAGAAAGAGGGCATGGGAGGTTGGGGGTTGGGGGGGCATCCAAGCCATAGGGGCAGAAAGGGAGGTATAAGGGTGTAAAGAGAATATATGGGAAAATGGTTGAGTGGATATGGTAGGATCTACTGTGGCTTTTCAAGAGGGGTGGAGGCACTATACGCTGTGTGTGTTGCTACTTAAAATGTTTTCATCCTGATCTTCAGCTGAAAAGACTTCCAAAGAGTCTTGTGCACAATTAGGACAAAAAAAGGATAGTTCCTGGCCATAAGAATAAAAGCAGTATATGAAGGCTTCAATTGATCAAAGCTGGGGTGGGGGTCAATACCTATGGACTCACTTAGAGACAACCATGGAAAATTGCAGCCTGGAATGTAAGAGGAGTAAGCCATAAAGAGGATGGATGGATGGATGGATGGATGGATGGATGGATGGATGGATGGATGGATGGATGGATGGATGGAAAATCGATTGATAATATTGAGTGTCTGTGAAACAAAGAGAAAATAGAAGGATGTAATAGATCCAGATGAAAGTAGTCTGTTGTGGAATGTGATGGATTTTTTGGTCCTTTTGGGGGGTTTGAGGATATTACGGGATAGAATGGGTGCCCTAAACTTTGCAGATTTTTATAGCATCCAAATTCATTCTTAAAGCCTCCTGCCCATATTCAGAAAATAGTGGGAAAATAGTCTAATGGTAAGGGGTAAAGGATGAAATGGGGGCCTTAAACTGCTGTAAGTTTAAAGCACCATTTTGTTCCAAAGCCCAGAAGAGACACAACTCCTACCCCCACCCCTCAGGTTGGCCCCATCTGCTCCAGGGATTGGCCAGGTGCTGCCAAAGTATGTTAAGAGCTTCCACATGTGCTGCTGGATGGCATACAAAATCCTTCCATTCATTCTTAGGTTTTCCTCTTTCTCTTACCATAGGGAAGTGCACGCAGCCTGGTTGTGCCAAGAGTCCTTTCCTGTAGTGTTTCACTGATATTATACGGAGTCTACACCTCAGTAAAGAGTGTAAACAAAATAGTGTAAATAGAACTGTGCACACAGTTTTATTGCAATCCTTGCAACATTTTAAGCACACAAGAATGTCTCTGTAATGCAGAAGAAATTCCTGAAGTTTGAAATGATTCCTCTCTCCTTTTCCAAATTCACATGAATATATATAGGAGGCTGGCTATATATAAGGGCAGCTAGGTAGTGTAGTGGTTAGAGTGCCACCCTTTGACGTGGGAGACCAGGGTTTGAATCCTAACTGGTACCTACCTTACCAGTAGGAGTCCTTGGGAAAAGACCCCTTAATGCTTCACCTGCATACCTCACATATGAGAGTGTCACGAACTAAGAGAGTCATACTGGCTCGGACATCACCTGGATTAACAAGGTCCGCACCAGATGTTGGGGAACCAGGACAATCTCGTGATAAGTGGGCTACTGGAACAAACCATACATGGACGAGACAAGAGAACCTGGAATTGATGGAATGCTACTACAACAATAGACCTAATGAGAGAGGATATATGAAATGTATGAGGGAACTATGGATGGATAGAAGACCTACACCCACACTAACCGAGAAACAGCTACTTACCCAACACTTCAACATAGTGAAGAGGAAGCTGCTCTCACAACTTGAGATAGACCAACTACACATTACATCCCGGACTCAAGAAGACCTGCAGGAACAACTGGATGTGCAGCCAACACCTGAAGCTGGAATATCACTGCCACTCCCTCCATTACAGAGCACAGCAGGTGATAGGAGGCATAAGATCATGGATAAACCAGCTACAATCAACCCTCAAGACCAATTACCAAGATGCAGTGGAGGAGTACCATCAGATAGTATATTAGAAGATGCCACTAGAGTCCTCACGACATCCCCTACTACCAGCATAACTCAAACCAATGAACATGTATGCACTGCAGCCGCTCTAATCCTAGAGATGCTTGGCTATACAGTGAATAAGAACAGCAGTACTTACCCCCCCCCCGGAAAATGAGGTTGGAGGCTAAGATCAAGGCAACTCGGAGAGAAGTTAGTCAGCTGGTGGAACTACAGAAGGGTGTGAAGATTAAGGATAAGACT